AGGGCGAGGGCTCGCGAGAAGGAGGAGCTGATGGTGCGAGAGCGTAGGTGATTCCCTTTGCTTGGTCAAACAGGACGGCGCGCGCGATATGGGTCTTGATTTGTATATCACTGGTCTGGGACAGCGGGTCAAACAGTGTAAAACTAGATTTCCTGGCGGTGACGAGAAGAATTGGGAACTAGTGTCCACGCGCTGGATCTGAGGTGTTGGCCCGAACCGTGACAGCGCTGACGTCGTTTCAGGGCCTCCTCGTCAGCCCCTGATGCTGCTGCCGCCGTGAGGAACTTTCTGGAGTCTCTTCGAGGCCAGTCCGGACTTGCTGGAGGACAGCAACAACGTGGGGGTGATAAGGCGTACCCATACCTCAACCACCTACTGCCGACCTCGATCACAGTGCCCATGATCGACTCAGCCACCGAGGAGTTTGCCGATACCCTGATCAGTTTTCTCCCACCTACCGTCATCGTCCTCGCAAGCGGCTCATCGGAAGTTGATGGAAAGTCGGACCCTTCAGCGGCTGCTGTTGAGGCGGCCAAGGCTTCCCTCTTGCTGGACGATAAGCGCAGCCTACTGAAGAAGGTTCTTCGAAGTCCACAGTTTAACCAAGCTCTGGCAAGTCTGACCATGGCTATTCGAGATGGAGGACTGCCAAGCATCGCAGATGCTCTTGGAGTGAAGGTCCAGGATGGCGGATATCTGCGTGGAAGTGGAATGCCAATGGGCGGAGGCCAGGCTGTCGAGGCCTTTGTTGAGGGTGTCAAGAAGACAGTCGAGGAGGAGAAGAAGTAAAGAGATATGAGGAACATTCTTGTACAGGGTGAAAACACCCAGCTATGCTTCACGACTTGATGTTGATGGAAAAGCATATAGACAACGTCCGGTGTTGACCGAGCTAGCGGCGCAATCATGACTTATGGTGCTCTTCAACGCTAGACAATGAAATAGCATCAAATCTCAGTTCTTTGCACATATACTGTAAAATGTCTATTAGAGAGCATCGTATTCTATCTTGTAAGTCGGTTCATAACTCGCTTTCCAGCTGAGGTGGGCCATTCCAACTTATGCATGCCCTGGGCAGTGGACATGAAGCGGCCCCACGTTCACTGACGTACCCGCGCCGTCGTACCTGCTTTAGCTCATCAACACTCGCCTCAATTTCTCAGCGCGCCTCGTTTCAACTCCATATTCCACGCCCTTTACACTCGGCGCATTGTCAAAATGGAGGCCGTATTCCCTACAGACCCTCGCGAATTCGATGGCGATGACCGCATATCGTTCTCCAAGCTCGACAACAAGTTCATCGCGGTTCACGATGATGGCAACGAATACGAATTCGACGCTGATCAGAAGCGATGGATCCTGACGGACGACGAGCCATTGGAGCCCGAACATTTTGATACACATGAACTCCATGGGGGACACACATCGCAAGTATCCCAAGATGAGGGATCAAGGAAGCGCAAGAATGGGTCGGGCCCAAGTTCAGAGGTAAGCCTCTACTTCCTTCGATCGCAACACCATTCCCCGACACTCTAGGAGTCACCTCTCGATCAAGACCTCAGCAAGCTGACCTTTAGGTATTAGACTACAGGGACCCCCAAGCCTACACGACCAAACAAGAAGCAGAAGGCGCCCCCACAGCCCAGACAAAATACTGCAGTCTATGTCACCGGTCTCCCTGCCGACACAACAGTTCAAGAAGTACACGAGCTCTTCTCCCGGAAGGGGGGCGTCATAGCCGAGGAAATCGACAGCGGTGCGCCACGCATCAAGCTCTATACCGACCCGGATGGCAACTTTAAGGGTGACGCCTTGATCGTCTTCTTCAAGCCCCAGAGTGTTGAGATGGCCATCATGCTTCTCGACGACACTGACTTCAGAATCAACCCAAGCGGCACGCGTGAGGGCAGGATACGGGTCCAGGCTGCGGACTCAAGCTACAAGAAGGTCAAGTATGACCAAGATGACGCTGCCTCTGGGGATAAGAGCAACGGAGCTGCGGAGCAAAAGCCTCAGAAGAACAACCGTGACAGGCAAAAGATCATCAAGAAGACGCAGAAACTGGACGCAAAGCTGGCCGACTGGGACGACGATATCCCGTATGCGGGGCAACCTGAGGCGGCGACGAAATGGGATAAACTGGTGATCCTACGGCACATGTTCACGCTGGAGGAGCTCGAGGAGGATCCAGCAGCACTTTTGGAGATCAAGGAGGACATCAGAGAAGAATGCTCCAAGCTGGGCACAGTGACGAACGTGGTACTCTTTGACCAAGAGCCCGAAGGCATCGTCTCGGTCAAGTTTAAGGATGCAGACTCAGCGCTGGCATGCATCAAACTCATGCATGGGAGGAGTTTTGACGGGCGGACAGTGGAGGCTTTTCTGGCATCAGGAAAGGAAAAGTTCAAAAGGTCACAGCAGGATCAGAGCGTTGAAGACTCTGACTAGAGGCGCGTCCATGTTGAAGTAGGAGTCTTGATTGGAGTGTAAGATACCCAGAACCCAGGAGAGATAGGGACAAAGTAGACCGTTCCAGCTGCATGATATGCTTTCATTCGTTTTTTTTTTCCTTGACTCTTACAATCTGGGTAGGGTCAGGTAGATTTCAGAGGTGTGGTTATTTCGATGTCCTCGGCGACTGTATACCAGATGGCAGCCTCGATAACATTGCAGATTACTTGCAATTCTTCATCATCTAGTTGGGAAGCTATATTAGCCGGTTACTGACTGACATGCTCAATCTACAACTCTCACCTCGTGGTGCATATATCATGACAAAATCGGGCGACACTGGGCTCTTGAGGAAGCGACTCCTCCACGCGAGGGGGTGCCTCTGGCCCCAGCCCTTGTCTAGCACCTCTTTTATATCATCGGGGTGAAGGCACATGTGCATTGAGTGATCCGAATCGTGAACATGGACGATCTCGCCCTGGCAGTTTGTCTGAAGCGGGTGTCTCGCAAAGAGGGCTAAGCCATGCTTCTCAAGGCACGATCTCTCGGTGCCGAATTTCTTGGGGATACGGCTCGCCAGTTTCTCCATGGACCTGCGGACGGCGCGGTAGCACCCTTGGGACCCGTGTTGGTCGATCTGCCTCTGGGGCGCGATGCCTGCGACGATGGGGCGTGGTCCTGCGCGGTACGGGAGGTGATATCGATTGAGAATTCCAGATGTTGGGAGCCGAGTTGGGTCCGGTACTGGTGGGACAAAGGGGTCATTGAGAGACCATAGGCGGAACCATGTTATACGGATGTAACCGGCAAAGGTCGAAGGCGTACCGCCAGGGCCCAGGTTTAGGAAGTTCTGGTAATCATTCTGAATGAGCAAGACTAGAGGAACGATACCGATGAGGAGCTCAGCGTGATAGGGTTCGAGGAAATGGACGACAAGGAGGAGCGCAAGAGCGGATAAGAATATGGTAGGGCCGTCGAGGGTCACAGAGATGGGCTGTTGGCGGAGGACGCATGAGATATTGAGCGCCTCAACCTCAACTTCGCCCTGGAGATCAGGAGGAGGCGAGGTGAGGGTCTCGGCCGATGTAATGGCGATGGACATGGCAGTAGCAGTAGGAATTGATTATTGTGTCGTATTGTAGGGTATGTTTAGGCAGTAGGTCGTCGGCCACAATGCCACGATGAATATTCTTGTGGGCGACGCCCGTGTGAGTGTGACGTGAAGCCAATGGGAGAAGCCTAGACTTAAAGACTTGGGACATTCAAACGCCTTCGACAGAGAGAACCAGGCGAAAAGGCAGGCTTTAATATTCCAGCGGCTTTCCTAAATTCTCACAAGAGGCGGGAAACTTGGAGCTGTGTGCAGGAACCAGAGGAGGAGGGGATCGTCATCTGATGCCCAGCAGGATCCAACCACACCAAGCAGAGCAAGCCCCGACGCCGACAGCCCGAAAGAAGTGCAATTGGGCCTCTTGTGCGCCATCACATCAGCCGCACAAGCTTTGCTCTACGCGAAGATCAGCACTTGAGGCCAGCAGCCAACGGAAGCTGCACCTGCAGTGCCGCCGTCGGGTGTCTCGTTTCAAGCCTGGGCGCTTTGTTTCCCCCCGCGCGGGGTTGATTGGCGTTGAGCCATGACGTTGGGTTGAGGTTAACTGAGCTTCCAATGAGCGGACTTCGAGGGATGACGACGCTGCGTTGGGTCATAAGACGGTCTAGCTTGATGGAAGCGGGACGGGAGGAGATAGAAGACCGCGGTGTAAGACGAGGTGAGTGCTACCCTGGACACATGGTGAACTGGGTGGTCAGCATAGCTAAGGGCGCTCAGTATCTCCTTTATTCAAACAGAAATTGTCGATCAGTAACAAATGCTCGGTCGTTTAAGCTGGACTGCCTGTAGGTGAAGAAGCTGTATCACTCAAGCCTGTAGCACAATAATAGGTAGGTAGGTAGGCAGGTATGGGTAGCACGTGAGGAGGAAATATCTTCACCTCAACTCAGGATAACCGAAACCATATTCAAACCCAAATGCACATGCAACCCTACCCAAGCACTCCCCTCAACCGACCAACTGGAGTTATACAAGTCCATGCAAGGACTCTCGGTGAGCTGGTTGCGGATGCATGCTAATTACCGGAGACCATGGAACAATGGCCGGCCGAAGTCGAGGCCGAGCTCGCCTGTTGCCCCGCAACCGCATTGTCCCTAACAAAACAAAATAGCGAATGACGACGCATGCATGGGTATGGGTGATGCAGCAAAGAACTCTGTCTCGGCTAGAGTTGGAAAGGCCTCCTTTTTACCTCTGTTCCTCTTATGATTTCTCCTTCTGTATAGCCTTGACGAATCTTTTGACGACTCTTTAACACGCCTGTTTATACGTGAACACGTCCACTCCAGCGATTTGAACCTGACCATAGACGTCGCTGGAATCTAAGAATCTGCCCAAATTGGGCAAAGGGAGCTTCACTTGCTGGTCAGCCCCGAGACATCGCATTCCACCAACAATAGCTGACCAGATATAGGACATTATAGAACCAGCTCCCAGCATGGGTTTATCAAACCTTCTGCGGCCTCGCGAGCCGAAGCTGCCGCTCTACAAGAAGGTCAGCTCTCCGACTAAGGAACGATACTCGGACGACGACTACTCTACCGACGACGAAGATGATGATGAGCCTTACTCCCCCGGCAGCTCGCCGGGTTCCTCAAGAAATACATCTGGGTCTGCCTCGAGCGGACTTTTGATGCTGCCCAAGCACAAGAAGAAGCCGCTCCCTCTAGGCCGGAAGATCGCCCGAGTGTACCCATACCGACTACCCACAAAGGTCACACGGTACCTGTTGTGTTTCGTAATAGGCTTCATCATTGTCCTGATCGTGACCCTGGTGCGAGCCAGCCAGGTGGAGAACTGGAAGGTCGCGAATGGCCAGGTAAAGAGTCGGCCGCCGCCTCCTCCCGCCTGGGAGAAGTTCCCATTTCTGGAGAGATACTATGGAGGACTGAAGAATATGGTTACGATGGAGGAGATCAAGCCCGAGTGGCCCCACGTTAAGGACGAGCCCTCAATGTTGGGCGAGGGCAACGAGTGGAACAAGCAGAACGAGGTCAAGGGCAACAAGGATAGCGACGAGACCGATAAGGCAGCCACCAAGGAAATCGAGGAAGAAGCCGAAGGCAAGCCCAAGGAAGAGACCAAGGACGAAAAGAAGCCTGAGGAGGAGTCCAAGGCCAAGCGAGAGCTCCCCGAGAGCCACGGCTGGAACGGATATCCTGGACGAAGCGAAGAGACGGATATTCAAGAATGCTTCCTTGACGCTGACCGCACGGTCCGAGTTCCCCAGCTTCGGTACTACAACGGCCGCCCTCAAGGATTCCCCGAGCACGCTGTTGGATCTTACGAAGTGCTGGATCTGCCCGAGAACATCTGCTTCGACCGTTATGGCCGCTACGGACCCTACGGCTTTGGATATTCCTCGAGGAACGGTGGACTGAGTGTTGGAGAACATGGCCAGAAGGAGGGCTCAGATGCTGTTTGGGACAAGACCCCCAAGGTCGACTACCGACAGGTTGACTGGGCCGAGGTCCAGCGTCGCTGCTTCAAGGCCAACCAGGCCCGTTTCAAGGCCCTTCCTCCCAAGACTCTTACCCCTCACGGCTTCTTCATCCACGAACCCAAGGCACCAGCACCATCTGCTTCTCTTGAGCGCCGCGGCGTGGAGGTGGAAAAGACCAACCCAGGAAAGGAGGCTGCTACCCCTGAACCCACCGTCTCTAAGAGCGAGAAGCCCAAGACTGAGGAGGCCAAGTCTCAAGACTCCAAATCCACGCAGTCCGCGCCTGCCGAGTCCAAGGCCACCGAGTCTAAAGCTGCCGAGTCTAAGGTTGCCGAGTCCAAGGCTGCTGAACCCGTACCTGTGGTATCCAAGGCTGCAGAGCCAAAGGCTCAAGAGTCCAAGACCGAAGAAACCCACGAGACCAAGACTGAGAAGTCCAACTCTGCCAGCACCGAGCAGCCTAAGGCACCTCAAGTTAAGAAGGCACGCACTGCTGTCGTTGTACGCTGCTGGGACGAGTACCACTGGCGTGAAGATGACATCGCCAACATTCGATCCCTCATCACCGAGCTGGCCGTGACATCTGGCGGCCGTTATGACATCCACTTGCTTGTTCAGATCAAGAACGAGGCTGCTCACCCTGTCTGGGCTGACCAGGACACCTACCGAGAGCGTATCGAGGAGACCATCCCCGAGGAATTCAGGGGCCTGGTGACCCTCTGGTCAGAGACTCAGATGCTGGCTCTCTACCAGGGCATCTACGATCACTTTTCTCGCGGTCCTGATCTGCCCGTCCACGGCGTCTACCGCGGCCTCTCAATGGCAATGCAGTACTTTGCCTATATGCACCCCGAGTACGACTACTTCTGGCAGTGGGAGATGGACGTGCGCTACACTGGCCACTACTACGACCTCTTTAGCAAGCTCGAGAACTGGGCCAGAGACCAGCCTCGCAAGGGTCTTTGGGAGCGTAACTCTCGCTTCTACTTCCCCAGCGTTCACGGTAGCTGGGAGGACTTTTCGCAGATGGCTCGCGTTCAGAGCCAGATGGGAGTTGTCGGTGCTGACAATGTATGGAAGAAGGTTCCTGGCCTCGATCTAGATGGCAAGTCTCCTGATGCCGACACCAAGGGTGATCGCACCGTCTGGGGCCCTCTGCGTTCCAACGATGACAATGACTGGTTTGAGCCAGGCAACGATCCAGTCGCACCCACATCCTACGAGAAGGACCACTACCAATGGGGTGTCGGCGAGGAGGCTGATTACATCGCACTCAACCCTATCTTCAACCCTGAGGGCACTTCTTGGGGTCTCAGGGAAGACATCACGGGCTTCAACCGCACTGAAGGCCTGCCACCTCGCCGCGCCAACATCATCACAACTTCGCGCATGTCTCGCAGACTTCTGACGACCATGCACAAGATGACAGCCTTTAAGAAGCAGTTTGCCTTCCCAGAGATGTGGCCTGCCACCGTGGCTCTCCACCATGGCTACAAGGCTGTCTCGGCGCCTCACCCTGTCTTTGTCGACCGGTCCTGGCCAACGGCGTACATGGCTCAGGTCTACAACAACGGCCGCGATGGCTCCAGTGGTGGTTCGCGGACGAGCATCTTTGGAGACAGGGAGCACAACATGCATGGACTCTCGTGGTTCTACAACTCAGGTTTTGCGCCCAACCTGTATCGCCGATGGCTGGGACTCCGGGTGAACAATGATGGTGGTGAGGAGTTTGAGGCGACTGAGGATAAGAGTAAGAAGGGCAAGGGCGTGGGCAACATGCGTGGTGGCGAGGGAAGAATGTGTCTTCCACCCATGCTGCTGCATCCTGTCAAGGAAGTTGAGCTGCCCGTTGAAGCCCCCAAGCCCGGCACTGATGGCCAAGAAGGCCAGTCTGACCCCGGAGCATAGAGTTGTTTTTCTGTTTTTGTATTTGTTTTACTCTTGACATTTGTTCGGAGTTGGGCATGGCGTTAAGTTTGCTTGCCTGGTCGTCTTGTCTACGGGTTCATGTCTTGCCATTGAGGAATGAGACGGAATGATAATGAATGACCTGGATGATGCCTTGGAATCTTTCAGATGGTGCAGTGTATACGTATCATATATATATGGGATTAGACTGGTTAAACTTGACGGTTACACATTGAATCATAGCATAACTCTTGGTGATTCGTTCAGCTTGCGAGGAATGATTAAAAGCCGCCGTCTTCAGACATAAATTTTATACACTTATTATCACATAGAGCATATTCCCGACCGCTCGTTTGTGTAGCATCCCATCCAGTTTCCCAAGGCTCTTTCGTCTCCCAGTTTTTGCGCCGGTACGGTCCTCGCAAATCGCGGGTATTAAATCAATGCGTTCTCAACTCCCCGTCTATACCACGCGCTTGACCTCGAAGAAGCGTCGCAGCCACCAGACCTGGAACAGGGACTCGCCAATGACGACGCCAATGACAAACATGTTCCACCACTTGACTCGGCTGTTGGTGCTCTCGGCCGTGTTTCGGTGGGTGCGCTCGCGGATGATGATGTACTGCTGCTCGTCCTTGACCTGGGCAAGGAGGTCGGAGAGCTTGCGGACTGAAGATTGTGTGAGCTAGGGGTCCAGAGTATCCTGTTTTGTAGGGCTACTAACCTTCGCGGTCGAGGGGGTCGGCGGGGAGATCAGACTCGCTCACGTAGACGATGCCGTGGACGTTGAACGACACCTCCTTGGTGTTGGCGCCCCAGTTCTCGTTGCCGAAGCAGTATACGTACTTGCCGTCGTGCTTGGCAGTGAAGGAGTAGTCGCCGTTGGAGACACTCTTCTCGTTGGCCTCGTACTGGCCAGCAGGGTTGTTGATCTATTCATCCCCAGTCAGATCACTTGTTCTTTTATGTGTCTCCCATGTGGACACGTACCCAAAAGTCAATGTCGAGGTTGCCTGCGCTGCCAAACTCGCGATCGCCGACCTGGAAGGTGACGGTCATGGTGTCATCCTTGTGGAGGGTCTCGTGGAAGCACTCTCGGCCGTGGGCGGGAAGGACGATGTTGTGAGCGGTAGCGGCCTGGAAGATGGTGGCGGCGAGGAGGGCCCTCGCGGCTGTGAAGAAGTGCATGATGCCTGTGTTTTTTCGTGAAAAAGCCCGAAGGAGTGAAGGGTCGTCGGTGAGAAGGTCAAGGGAGTGTCGTGGTTGCCTGCGGGAGGATCTTGATCCGGGCGATTACACTGTCAATGTCATCTATCAAGTTTCCCCTTGTTGGAGCTACAACACATGGAGTCGCGAATTGACACCTTTCCGCAGCGGCCAGCCTCGATTGTGGCTAGTGCACTCTTCTCCCCCTTCTCAGCCACGATTAAACAACTTTGCTGTCCTCTAAAAACAGCAAAGCCAATCCCGAGGTGGTCCAAGCCTAAAAGGGGGAAAGTGGGCTCGTGTGGACCTTTGACTCTCTGTGTGTGTGGCTTGGGAGGCGAGGGCGGGATTGTGCTTGTCGATTATCTGTCCTTGTGAACGAACACCTCAGAAAGGGATGAGATGGCGGGACTGATAAGCCAGGGGCGGGTCACGATTGCGCGGCATCTGGAGTGTGGCATTGAGTCGAGCATGGTAGGATATTAGACGAGATGTGATATTATGGTGAATTGAAAATAGTATCACTGTATCTGTTTGCTTCTATTCAGTCTTGTCTCTCTCTGCTCATTCTTTCTTCTCCTCGTATCAGAGCAAAAGTCCTGAATGTGGCGGTGCACACACATGTCTGTCGTACCCCTCCAGTCTGTCTCAGCTCCCCTCTCCCCCTGAACGGTCCTTGGAATCCACTGTGACTCTGTGAGTAGCTTACGGCCAGGGCACCTAGGCTAGTACCTGCTGCTCGCCAGGCTCCAGAATTCCCTGCCCCCGGCGAGCCAGTAACCTGCCCTCCGCTAGCACGGTCCCCAGTGGCCCCCCCAGTGGCCCCAGCCCCAGCAGCAGCCCAAGGCCGCAAAAAAAGCCCAAAAGAGCCACAGCCCAGCCATTCGATCAACGGATCTATCTTCCCCTCTGTTCCGTTCTGTCCTTGCTTGCTCGACTTCTTACACCGACAAGTCCCCAAACCACACGACAGCCGCCGCACCCCATCGTCGCCGTCGGTTTTTTTTTCCTGCACCACCACCCAAACGGACCGCCCCACGATCCAGTAAGTTCAGTTCAGAGTCATTTTCCATCAGGCTGAGGCCGTATCCTGCCCTCGCTGCCGTCTCGAGCTTTCCCGTTTTACCCCCCGCTGGCGATGGCCTCATGGTTGGGCTCTTCTCTCTGTAACGCTGCCGCTCCGTGTTCGCCGTCGTCGCCGTTCAATCCCGCCCGCCTGGCTCTCAGCTGTTCCGTGGCCACTTGAGCATGAGCACCTGCACAGCACAGCGCAGTACACCTGGCATCAGCCGGCGAATACGGCAGCCTGGAACGAGATTTGCCTGATGGCCCAAGGGAATCTAGGATGACAGTCGGGAGATGCTGATGGCGAGCACCATGATCGTTGCCTCGACCATCATCATCTTAGGTGTCCTTTCGCAACACTCGCCCATAAAGCAAACCTGTCCCGCCTCGCCTCCTCCTGCATCATCAACTCCAACAATCAAATCAATCAATCACCAGCCTCCTCCTCCCTTGTCTGCCATCCCTCCCACTTCTGTCTCAGCCTGTCTTGTCTTGCCTCTTCCATTTATCTAGCCTTGCCCCCTTTGCCCCTCGCCACGTCCTCTTCTCTCAACACACCGTCTTCCGACCCCGCTGACCTTGCGCCTCTCCTCTCAGATCCCTCTACTCTATAGCAATTCATACAGGCGTCCAAGCCTCAAACCGCAAACATGGGTCTCGCCTTTTCGAAGCTGTTCGACCGACTGTGGGGGAAGAAGGAGATGCGAATTCTGATGGTCGGTCTTGATGCTGCCGGTAAAACCACCATCCTGTACAAGCTCAAGCTCGGTGAAATCGTCACCACCATTCCCACCATCGGTATGCTCTGCCCCCGCCCGCCCGCTGCGATCGCGCTAGAACGCTGACACGTTGTCTTTTTCCACTCTAGGCTTCAACGTCGAGACCGTAGAGTACAAGAACATCCAGTTCACCGTGTGGGATGTCGGTGGTCAGGACAAGATCCGACCTCTGTGGAGGCACTACTTCCAGAACACTCAGGGCATCATCTTCGTCGTTGACTCCAACGATCGCGACCGTATCGTCGAGGCCCGAGAGGAGCTTCAGCGCATGCTCAACGAGGACGAGCTCCGAGATGCCATTCTCCTTGTCTTTGCCAACAAGCAGGATCTTCCCGTACGTCACGACCCCACCTTGACCCCGTCTCTCCATTTTCTCCCCCTCATCCATCCATGTAACCGCGGTAACTTTGAACTGACGTGATGCCTACGATAGAATGCCATGAACGCCGCCGAGATCACAGACAAGCTTGGCCTCCACAGCCTGCGACAACGCGCCTGGGTAAGTACAAGACGGTCATCTCCCGATGTCAACTGCCCGGTCTCGAGAGGCTGGGCAAAATCTCGCCATAACAAGTCACATGCTAATCAACCCTCACCCCCAACAGTACATCCAGTCCACCTGTGCTACCTCCGGTGATGGTCTCTACGAGGGTCTCGAGTGGCTCGCCAACACGCTCCGAAAGGCTGGCCACCAGTAGAAAGACTGACGAGAAGTCTCCTTTGAACAAAACCCGCCTTCTCCCTCCAGCTCTCTGCCACATACTCTCACATGGCTCTTTTCTCGACTTTGATTATTCGAGGTTTCGGTTGTAATTTGCAAAGTTATCGGTCAACCAATCGAAGATGATCCTTGAACCAAACAAGTCGCGTCTCAGTCTTGACGTTTTCTGTTAAAGCAACCTCTTTTCCGCGTTCCCTCTTTCTCAATCTCTCTCAATTGGTGCTTCCTCGTGAGCCTCGCCTCGCCCTTCCGGTCAATCAATTCCCTCTCGCAAGAGTCGCCAGCTCAGCTCATCCCGAGGAACACAGAACGTACTTTCTTTTTTTCTTCTCTTGGAGGAAAAGTCGGGTGATGATGGGAGGCGTCTTTTGGGGAATCCCGGGATATTTGTACAGTCGTCAATCGGGTGTCGTTTGCTCTTTGAAAAGAATGCATCCTCACAGATCTTACACCACACGCACGATACCTAGTCTCTCACACTGTGGCGCACTGGTTTCTTTCTTTCATCTTTGTGTGTCTTTTTTTTCATGAGGGAGCATGGCCATGACTGGAACCCGAGTAACGAGAAACGCATGAATTAGGAGCTAATGCGAGACTGGACTGTTCTCGTAGAGATGTCTGTTTTTTTCTAAAGATGCCATGTTTGAAAAGAATGTGTAGATGTGATCGAACGTAGAGAATCTATTTTTCGTCCATGATAATTTGGAAGAGTATGTTCATGATGAGTGTCCTCTCCAAGATTGGGTCAGTAGGAGTATGCAGTCCTACATGATTACTTGCCGAGGTCAGCTAAACGACTTGGCGAGGGATTCGTCACTGGGCTTTGGGACTTGTGAAAGATAAGGGGAAAACATGGGTAATGCTGTCTAGCAGATATCAATGTCAGAGTGGTAGTGGACTGTCAACCAAGCAGCAAACAACTCTGGCATCCTCGAGGATAGTGAGGCATAACTCTCCATCACAAGGTGCTTACCAGAGTAACCCTCCCCACTGCAAGACTGTGGAGAGAGAGACAACGAGATGAGTGTGGAGTCTGTCGTTGGTGGGTGCATTCATCATGATGTGACCTGCAAGGCCTCACGGAACAGGAATGTGGTGCTGCCATTCAGGCCTCAACACGCCATCATGGTGGCGGGATATTTCACCTGGTCACAATACGGGCAACAGTGCGCATGACATCCGAGGAGCATTTTTTTTTTGACGTGCTTTTGAATTGGGTATCAAACGTGGTATTCTACATTTGGATCCATGTTATCATGATATCCTGACCATTCTTTTTTTTTTCTTGCCGTTATTTACAGTGGGAGACTATGCTATACTATTGTACAAAAATACTACATGTGATTAAGTTGACATGGAACACATAAACTCGTTAACCAATAAACTCCAAAGACTTGAACAAAGTCCCTCAGGTAGCGGCAGCAGGGGCAGCTTCTTCCTTGGGCTTGACATCAATCTCCAAACCCTCCTTGTCGTCGCGGATCCTGACTTCAGCAGTCTCACCCATCTTGAGCTGGCCCTTGATGATCTGGTCCGCTAGGTGGTTGCCAATCTCGTTGGTGATGAGCCGGTTCAAAGGACGAGCACCATACTTGGGATCGTAGCCGCGCTCTGCGAGCCAGTCTCTGACCTCGTTCGGCACAGACAGGACGATGCGTCGGTCGTCGAGACGCTGCTGGAGCTCCTTGAGACGAATATCGACAATGTCTCGGATCGCGTTGAGGGCGAGGCGCTTGAAGACGATGAACGAGTCGATACGGTTGAGGAACTCGGGCGGGTACGCTGAGCCGACAACATCCATCACGGCCTTGCGGACTGAAGGGTCAATATCTCCATCGGCCGTCTCCTTGTAAGGGTGTAGGTGGTTTTGGCCAACGAGAATGTCGGCACCCAGGTTGGATGTGAGGACGATGATAGTGTTTTTGAAGTCGACCTTGTGGCCCTGAGCGTCGGTAAGATAGCCTTCGTCGAGGACCTGAAGCAGTAGGGCAGAAATGTCGCGGTGAGCCTTTTCAAACTCATCAAACAGGAGTACGGCGTATGGCTTGCGACGGACGGCCTCGGTCAACTGGCCAGCGTCTTCGTAGCCGACGTAGCCAGATGGGGCACCGATAAGTCGGGAGATGGTGTGCTTCTCCTGGAACTCTGACATATCAAACCGGACCACCGCCGACTCTGTGGAGAAGAGGAAAGCGGCGAGCTTCTTGCAAAGCTCCGTCTTGCCGACACCGGTAGGTCCAAGGAAGAAGAAGGACGCCAGGGGTCGGTTCTCGCCGCTCAGACCGGCTCTCTGCAGACGGACTGCGTCGGAGACGGCCTTGATGGCCTCGTCCTGGCCCTTAACAGCTTCCCTGAGAGTGTCTTCCATGTGGACCAGCTTTTCGATATGTCCGGATGTCAACTTCGATACTGGAATTCCAGTGATGCGAGACACGACATTGGCAATGTCGTCCGAGGTGACAGAGTCGTGGATGAGGGTGTCTTCAGCCTTGGACTCCTTGGGCTCTCCCTCCTGAGGGAGCTTCTGCTCGAGACTGGGGATGACACCAAACCTGAGCTCCGAGGCACGGCCAAAGTTGTTTTCTCGCTGTGCCTGCTCGAGCTCAAACCTGGCCTTGTCGAGGTCCTCCTGGACCTTCTTGACTGACTCAATCTCGGCCCTCTCCTTCTCCCAGCGGCTGTTGAGCACCGAGATCTCTTCATTGTACTTGGCGAGGTCCTTCTCTAGCTTCTCCCTGCGCTCCTTGCTCGCCACGTCTGATTCCTTTCTGAGACTTTCGAGCTCGATCTGGATGGTCATGATCTTGTGGTCGAGACGCATAATGTCTTCGGGCTTGGACTCGTGCTGAAGCTTGAGGTGACTTGCAGCCTCGTCCATAAGATCGATGGCCTTGTCTGGGAGGAATCTGTCGGTAATGTATCGGTTCGATAGAGTCGCAGCAGCCACCAAGGCACCATCTGTGATTCGGACACCATGGTGGACCTCGTACTTGTCCTTGATACCTCGAAGGATGCTGATAGTATCTTCAACCGAAGGCTCGCTAACAATGATGGGTTGGAATCGTCGAGCCAGTGCAACATCCTTTTCGATTTGACGGTATTCGTTGAGTGTAGTGGCACCGCAGCATTGAAGTTCACCACGAGCCAGGGCGGGTTTCAATAGGTTGGAAGCGTCGATGGAACCTTCAGCCTTACCGAGGCCGAGGAGAGTATGAAGCTCGTCGATGAACAGAATAACTTCGCCCTCGGCCTGTTCAACTTCTGATAGAACCTTCTTCAACCTTTCTTCAAAGTCACCTCGGAACTTGGCGCCGGCAATGAGTGAGCCAAGATCGAGACTGATGACCCGCTTGTTCTTGACGCTCTCGGGGACATCACCGCGAACAATTCGAAGGGCGAGGCCCTCGAGGATGGCCGTCTTTCCGGTACCAGCATTACCAATAAGAACCGGGTTGTTCTTGGTTCGCCGAGATAGGATCTGAATCGTCCGTTGGATCTCGGCATCTCTTCCAATCACGGGATCAAGCTTGCCGTCCTTGGCCCGAGCAGTCAGGTCGATACCGAACTGCTCCAGTGCGGGCTTCTCCTCCTCGCCGCCCATGTTCATCCGGTGAGTACCACCGGGAGGGTGCGGCCGGCCATTGGCGTACGAACGAATGGCCAGGCTGGGGATCAATCGCAGAGGAGTTGGGCGAAGAGGTTGAGCTGCGAGTACTCGTGTAAGTGGTCGGGTAGATCGGGTCCGCGCGCCAGCACCAGCCAGGCGCTGGGTGGAAGTGATCAATTGTCTGCGAGCCTGCATATTGTGCACTCGATTACAAAGAAAAGAGTAGAAAAGAGCAATCGTGAAAAAAACAAAACAGGATCAAAGATCCTATCTTCGGGGGGAAGCTCTCAATTATCTACTCGGCACAGAGCCTCGGCCAGCAGTCTCATGACGGCTGGAGCACTTTCTCGCATCTTCGGCCGCCGCCATCGGGGGGGAGCCACTTTACTTTCTTGAGCTCTTATCTTATCAGCGTCACGTGCAAGAAGCCCCATGTCCAACTCTCGGGTAGCACGTACCATTTCCCCATTGGGCTAGCGCCAGAGGGTTCACATTTTGCTTCCCACAAACTCGTTAGCGGCCCTTCACACAGAATTCCAACATTTCGGGCGCATCAACACCAAGTGTCTTCCTTTCCTTCACCACCCAACCCAAGTCACCCAGCCAGGAGAGTCACCATGTCGGCGAAGCCCACATCCAAGACGTTCGGGAAGACGACCCGGGAGGTTCCCGCTCCCTCGGAGAAGGCGAAGAAGTGGTACCCCGCTGACGACGATGCCGAGAACAAGAAGGTGAGTTTCTTTTGGCGGTGATGATGATGGCTCTTTGCGAGCAGCTGTGTATTTTCCTTGAGGAGGCGCGTGGATTGGGGGTTTTGGAGAGGCGGATTGAGATCAACTCGACCGTTGGCAATTTTGTCATGCCGGCGCAGAACGACCAGAGAGAAGCGACAGGGCTTGAAATATTTCATGTCCCACGATATCGAACACACACACACATAACCAGCAACCCAACGACCACATACCGATTGGCGACAAGCACGCATTTCATAGCAGCCTCAAAACAGCAACCTTCAGCATCACTCGCTAACAGGTGCAAATCATAGGTCCGCAAGGCCGTCCGATCGTGGACTCCTCGCAAGTCCCTCCAGCCCGGCACTGTCCTCATCCTCCTCGCTGGCCGCTTCCGTGGCAAGCGTGTCATCCTCCTGAAGTCCCTCGACCAGGGTGTCCTCCTCGTCACCGGCCCCTTCAAGATCAACGGTGTCCCCCTGCGACGAGTCAACTCCCGATACGTCATCGCCACCTCCTACAAGGTCGACATCTCCGGCCTCGACGAGAGCAAGATTGAGGAGATCTCCCAACCCAAGTACTTCACCGCCGAGAAGGCCAAGGAGAAGGCTGGTGAGGAGGCTTTCTTCAAGCAGGGAGAGAAGCCCCAGGTATGAGGACCATTCGAGAGAACAAGATGAGATCAAAAACTGACACACGGGCTACAGAAGAAGGAGATCAACAGCAGCCGCGCCGCCGACCAGAAGGCCATCGACAAGGCTCTGATTGCCAACATCAAGAAGGTGGATCTGCTGGCCTCCTACCTCGCCAGCTCCTTCAGCTTGCGGAAGGGTGACAAGCCCCACGAGATGGCCTGGTAAATGGCAGTCCATCTTGTGCCGGGGCGGCGGGAGTACCGGGGTTGCGACACACGACGGGTTCTAGTAGAACGGGAAGGGTCTCCGAAATGGGCTGGTTTGGCCAATTGCATTTGGAAGTCGACGGCATCGGTCACATCTTGGCGTCTGTAATCAGGTTTTACAGTCAAAAAACAAACGAGCATACAAAACAATCTAGAGGCTTCCGGTGAGAGGCCGATGATGATGAATTCCCACTTTTGGATTTCCCGTCTACCGGGTGAAAAGGAACGAGAAAAAATGCAACTCTGATGCTTCTGTCTGAACTGAGACAACATTGAATATTTTATATGTCGTTGGTGGGATTTGGAGTTCAAGTTTCAAATTGTGTGCGTGGTGCGCCCTGGACCATCTGGAGTGTCTATCAACTCTCCAACCAAGGGTGGACTTCTTGACTATGGCCTGGCTGTCGACACAGCATGTTTTGTTCTTGCTTCTTCTATTCTACAGATTCTAGCCTCTACACGATCATGACTTGTTAATGTTCTCATATCTGTACACCATCATGACTTGCTCTTCATTTGCTCTTGCTCTCCTTGTTTATCCACATTTACAGGTCACGGTCCGCCCAACTCTCAACCATGCCCACAAGCGAGGCCTCGTAGTGCTTGATCGAAACCTTTCCAGACGCCTCGTCCAACGAGGTGTTGGCCTGGACAAAGACCTTGCGAGGCTGCTTGTTCTTGAGGACAGTGTCGCGGACCTTCTTGCCCCAGAATTCGGGGTCAACAGTCGTCATGTGGACGTAAAAGTCAGTGCCGGTCTTTACATCAGCAGTAGATTTGTAGATGTGAAGCTTCTGGAGGTACTTGGCAACAGCTAAACGAAACATATTAGCTTAACATTCAGGTCAGGGTTACCGGGAACTTACCATCTCGGCCGGCTGTGAGAATCTTGGATCGGTCCAGCTTGATCGTCAAATCCGAAAGATCGTCCTCCTTGTAGTCGAGCTTGCAGAAGTCGTCATCGGCCTCAAGGAAGCACTTGAGAATGGAGAAGCGAGCTTGGCTGTGAGCCTGTCCCCATTTCTGGCTCTTGGGATCCCACATCTCGAGGGAGGCAAGTCCAGCCCGAGCCATGGAGAGGTATGAAGCATACAGTACATCACCAGCCTCACCGTTGATGTCCTCGGAGCCGTCTCCAAAGCCAAAGATCTTAAGGACGGGGAACTCGCAGCTCAGGTGCATAGCGACAAGCTCAGCTCGGCACTCCTCGTATGACGCAGCAATGCTACCAAAGACAGAGCCCCAGGTCTGACCAGGCTTGTACCATGTCGTGATGGGCTTGTTATCGACGGGGCTAACAGGGGGGTTCTCCTTGTCAAAGTTGAAGTTACCAGGAGATGTCTCCTGCAGGAGCTTGCCGCAACCGTGACCAGTCAGTTCGTGAAGGCCAACCTGGACCTCAAAAGAAGCATCTCGCTGCTTCTTGTAAACCTCAAGGTCCTCATCGCGGATGAAAGGAATCTTCTCATCGGGGGCCTTGGCACTCATGACGTTTCCGAGGGAAACGTTCTTGAAACCTTCAGTCTGTCGGATGTCATCGTAGTTGGGAATGTTGATACCAGCAGGGATACCGGAGCCGGCAAAAGTCAGGACCTCAAGAGAGGTGAAGTCAGGGGACAGGAACTTGTCCTTCTCGAACTCGCTACCCCAGGGCAACAGAGGGATGAGTGTGGGGGCCTTGGACACAAGCTCGCCAAAGGCGCGTGTTCGCTCAAGGTTAACGATGGAGGCAAAGCCTTCCCACTCGCCACGAATACCGGCAGGGTCTCGGTATGTCTCGATGAAACCGATGTTGGACTCGACCATAGGGCCCTTGTCCTTGATCCAGAACCGCTGGCTGTCCTTGAACTCCTTCAGAGAGCCGGACTCGAAGGACTTGTTGTATGCGATATGCATGTTCTTCTGGGTATCGTTCTCGGCGTTCTCGGCAGCTCCATTGATGTATGTGGCAATGCTCTTCATCTCGGCGGAATAGTCGCCGTAGACAAGCTTGATAGTCTTGCCCTTCAGCGGGCCGTCCTCGACGGTGAACTCTGTCTCCTTGCCAATATCACCGCCCTCAGCAGGGATGTCCTTGACGGCCGAGGCAATCAGAATCTCAAAGTTGCCATCTTGGAGCTTTCGGAGTCGGTTGTTCTCGGGCAGGAGGCCCTTGGCCTCCATCCAGTCCGAGACAGCCTTGATCTCGTCCTTGGTGATGTGAGCAGAGTCAGGATAGTAGGTTGTCATGTGGCCATCATCGGGGTAGCCAAAGTGCATAATAGCGGGGTTGTCAGCGCTGAAGATGCCACCCTTTGTGGCCTCATAGAACTTGGAAGCCTCGGGGGAGGTGGCAGCCAGAGCAGCAACAGTCTTCTCGCTGCAGCGAGGGATGAACTTGGCGTCACCGAAGCTCTTGTAGTTGCCATTGTTGCCGAGGAACATGGCAGCGTACTCGAGGAAGCGAGTGACCTCATCCTCCTCGACACCGGCCTGCTTGGCCAAGGCGTTCCAGTCGCCCTTGGCAGACTTGTGAAGAGCCAGAATCAGATCGTAGATGGGCTCAGACTCGGGAGAGATCTGGCGCAGGACGATCCTAGTGCCAGCAAAGGCGGCTCTGGTGGGTGGTTAGCATGGAGGCGCCCACGTGATAGCCCGCGGTCAACTCGGGCAGGTTGAGATTGGAGCTACCGCCGATCAGAGATGACTTACTTGCTGATAAAGTGAGCATAGCGCTTCTGCTTGTCAGTCAGAGGCTCGAAGTGCTTCTCAATCTCAAGCCTGACGACCGAGGGAGGCTGGTCAGCGAGGTAGTGGGCCAGCTCGTGCGAGTTCATGACGACGGCAGAGGCTGAAAAGGCTCGAAGGGTCTGACGTCCAAAGGAAGCTGTAACGTGAGTGAGGGGTCGTCGTATAGCGGCGATAGAAGGCTTCGATGCTGCGGATCTCAGGGAGGGCAATGGCAGTCTTCGAAGAATGAAAGACGGTGAGATGAAGCTGGGAGAAGGCATGCCGCTTGTGCTCACGTCAGGTCGGCCAATCGATCCTTTGTATCTGGGCACAAACGCAACGCAACTGCCAAACGTGTCCAGGCAAAACGCGGGGGATCTTTGCGTGAGGCGGCAGCCACCTAGTTGCCAACCAGGGCTAGCACCGACTGTAGCCAGGCGTGTCTTTCCCCACCATGACACCTACTTAGGGCATCATGGACGGGCACCAGCACTGGTTGCAAGCTTGAACAAGGCAACAGTATCCAATCAATTCGAATTCTGGGATGGACCCGATAGGTTGTTTGAATAGTCTTTAGCCTTGTGCAACTTGAGAGTTGAAAGTTGAAAAGATTGGATCAAAATCACTTGCAGCGGGTGGCAGTCGCAGTCACAGTCACATCCTGTGCGTCAACCCACATGCGTCACGCGGAATGTAGCATTCTAGAATAGCGAGGATAGAAATAATTCCCGAGTAGTGCAATAATTTCACGTGAAGCCTTGTTTTGCCTGATCATGACTCTCTGAATGCCAAGATCATGTATATCATGACATGGTCCTAGTGGTGTAGTTTGAAGGGGTATATCTGCCGGGTAATCAAGTGGCTCTTGAATACAGGTATATCATTGTTCTCCATTGTTCCATGACTAGAATATCTCACGTGCTATTGGAAACTCTTATTTGATAGTCCATATTATTTTGTACTCACGTAGTGACAGTCTAATCTCGCTGTAATATATCTGCAACAGTACGAGACTCCTCAGTATCACTACCAAGGTCAGCGAGACGTCCATAGAGTGCCTGAGTCTCAATCTAACTAAGGCTTATTAACCGCTACACATTGCCTAATTCTCTTATTCATTATCGGTATCGTACATCTTATCAACGTCCTCTCCCCATTCTGAGTCGAGGCGACAGAGAACAGCATGTCGCAGCTTGCGCGAATAGTCTCTCGAGAAGATAGCAAACAAGTTCACAACTAATTGATACGAGAATCTTGAGCATCTGCCAAGTCTGGCCAAGTTCAAGTGCCCAATTTCACGAGTTCCATGCCGGAGAGCCAAAAGAGCAGTTTATCTGACGCTCATCGACCCCCACGGCAACAGCACAAGACAAGTTCAAACCGCGAGCCGAACCGAGAAAGTTCCCGATCTCCTTCCCGAAAGACCTTCCATTGAGATGACCCCACTGGCCAGTCCAGAGTCTTGCATGAAGCTCTGGGCTGTGTCGTACCCCGCGGCATACACGGCGGTTTCGGACGAGATGAGATGCATACGGTATCATGTCATGGATGGCCAAGTGTCGGCCAAGAGGCCTCGGGCGTTCAGTACAGCGGATGCTACCCTTGGAGGTCACATTACCCACGAGTCCTCGTAAATTTTGACTGGTCGGGGCAGCGCAATTTGGAGACGCAGCTTCACCGCGTTGCCATGTGGGACATGCCAGGGACGGGTGTAGACGGAGAGACGGTCCGGGGCTCCATCGCCAGGGTTCGAGAAGGGTTGACAAAGCAGGTTTTGAGGGGTCAGCAGTTGAGTGAGGACTATACAGGAGTCGTCAAGTAATGAATAAAAGAAACACCGTGGGATAGGTGGAAGAGAACTATATGGTAGTGCTCGCGAAACAACACTTGGAGAGATGCAACAGAATCGGAGACAGATTCAAGCGGTGTGGCGTTGATGAAACTCGAGATTCGGAGACCAGGGCTCCTTCCTGCACGCAAGAAAGCAAGCAAGCAAGCACTAACAAGATCAACGGCGCCGACCCGGTGTCGTCCATCGAGCCAGCGCTTCGGAATCTAGACATCCACCCGGGCGGGACGGTCTATGGGGCGTGGTGAGAGGGTGGGAGGGCGACGGGCGGTTGTGGTTGGCCAGGTCGACGTGGTGATTCCGGCCGGGGAAGCAAAATAGCTCCCCCTATTGAGCCGAGTCAAGCTGAGCCGGGTAAGCCTAGAAAGGGCCATGCCAAAGCGTACATGCCAGCAAGTTGTGCGTTGAAGATGTGAAGTTGAATTCTGTGGTTGTGGCTGTGTTAGTCACTCTGTGACAGGTATTCTCACAGATTAATTCTCCAATTGAATCCTAATACTTGTATCTATCAGTTGCAAAAGCATCACGATGAGCATTGTGTCCATGTTAATAATCAAGTTTATAATCATGGATTGTTCCTTTCGATGAAGTCGGTTGGAATCTTCTGGTCTGGCTGGGTGAGGCTTCCAG